CTGGTCCAAGGGGTCGCAAAGAGTTGGACTCGACTGTGCGACTGAACAACAACAACAAAAATTGATGCACTGATAGCAGCTTTCATTCCAAGGGTCACAGTTCTGAAAGCCAGAGAGTGATCCCCGAAGGACTCCATGAGTAAGAAAACGAAGTTAGTGCCGTGCCATAACCAGAAGGCCACAGTACTGGCAACAACGGCAGTGGCCACATTGTTGTGTTGGCAGGGGCTTCCTTGAGGCGAACAAAAATAATTGCCAATTGCTCAAACACAAGTAAGAAGGTTTTTGAGTATTTTATAAAGGGCCACTGATTTCATGGCAGATGGTAGTCTGGACAACCATGAAACATTCTTAATGAGCCATGGCATCTTCCATGGTAAACAGGCATCATTTCTGGCAAAACTAGGCAGTTGACATGACCTCCAAGATTTGTGATGCTGCAGGTCCCTACTCTAGGGGCAGACTTTGCAGCGATAAGTTAGCCGAGGGCCTGGCAGAGACTACAGACCAAAACAAAGTTATGCCTTTTGCAAATAAGAAAAAAGACAAGCCGTTCAGGGATTCCTCCAGTGCCTCCTATTGTTCATCAAATACAGGACATTCAGGATGGAAACTCTACAGGGGACTCTGCATCCAGATTTCATGGCCTCAGTTGATCTGACAGGGCAGACTGTTTCCTGCTTACTGACAATTTCTCCGCTTCATGGACCACGGCCAGCCACCCGCCTATCTTATATGTGTTCCTGAAGCTACTTTATTTATTTATTTATTTATTTATTTATACATTCAATTTATATACCGCTCTAACCTTTTTTTTGGCAGGTCTCTGAGCGGTTTACATACATATTCCAAATTCCCTAACTATGGCCACATTTGTTGATGGGTGGTATCTGCCTACCAGCACCCAGGGCTGCTTGTTTTTCTGGCTTCTTTTAGCGGCTTCGGGTATCGGCGTCCTTCTGGTGCCCTTTTTTCTGGAGCCGGTCTTTTTTTGGGTAGCTTCCTCCGGCAGGCCTCGTTCTGGCGCGTAGCTCCGTGTCAGCTGCGGCTCCGGCTAATGTCCTTGGTGGCTCCGCCGGGCCGTGCCACACGTCACCACGCTCTCTGGGCTCCGCCTCCAACGTCGATGTCGCTCCACTGGGTCGCCAGGAACTGCTCCACCGCCATTGCCAATTGTGGCTCTGGTGGCCAGCCCGTGTCACAAGGGAGTCCTCCCTTATTTGAGTGACCTTTTAGTTTGGTCTCAGTCACACCAGAAGTGTGTTCAGGATGTCCAACCAGTGTTACGCATGCTGCAGGATTATGGATGCCTAATAAACACAGAAAAGAACCATCTAGCTCCAGCTCGTTCTTTTGTCTGTGTGGTAGTGCCAGTCGATAACGTCCGGGGGGGTGGGGGGGGATTGAAGGTCCAGAAGATAATGTCCGCAAATGTTAAATGCTGAGAGCCGCTTCAGTAGACCTGATGTTTTTTTGTACATCCCCCAGGCCCCATGATTGCCGTCCTAGAGACTTCCATTGGCCAGAGCACATTCCAGGGTCCTTCAGTGGACACTTGCTGTTCCAGAAGTGCCCCTGGACTCAGACCTTGTTCCGAAAGTTTTCCATCTTTTGCACTGGTCCTGTTCCTGCGTCCCTAGTAGCTGCCTGGACATTGAGCAGCTGAAGGTCTTTCCCGTCATGCTATCTCTGTGCTGGAAGAACCGTGGCTTCACATGCCAGATCTCTTCATGGCAGGCTGCTGTTAAAGGGCTAGGAGCAAGGCCAATACAAATGTGATGGTTCTGTTGTTCATGCAGTGCAACAGCACGGCTCATCTGGCATCCGATACTAATTAACGCATTGTGGAATATATATATCTTCCTCCATTCCAGAAACATTCAGGGATTCTACAGCAGGCTAATTTTTTTTTTTAATGTTGCTGGCAGATAAGATGCTTAAATTATCTGCTGCTGGTAATGGGGGGGGAGGGGGTTTATATAACCTCCCTTTTCAAAAGCAGCTCAAGACGCCTCGCAAACCGTACACAGTTGGGTGAAAGCAGGCCAAAGGAAGGAGCCTCGTGGCGTCTCCCCCCCTCTCCTGCAGAATGGCTGGCTGCTGATCAGAATGTGAAAGGCCAGGGGCCGGTGGACCAGGAGGGCCGATGGGAAGAAGCCTGCCCTTTTTCTTCCAAACTGCAGGACAGCTGGCTGCTCGTGGCCCGAGAGTGGGATGGCTTCATGCTTTTGCTAAAGTCCATAATGTGTTGGACCCTTTCCTTCGCAAAACCTCACGTAAACAGCCAGGAAGACATATTTCTGGTACCGTATGTTCAAAAGCTAGTGCTGACAATATGGAACATTTGAAGTGATAGGATAGTCTTGGTAACATTAAGATGCAATTAAAAAAAAAATTAAGATGCAAATAACAGCGAGGAAAACTTTTTTTTTAAGCACCCTGTTTATCTATTGGCTGTTTTATGCTTTAAAAAAGTTTTAAAAGCATGCATGTGGATGAACAACGCTACGACTGACCTGCCTTTTTATGCAACACTGACCCTTGCTATGTTCAGGGGGCTTTTAAAATTATACTTCCCGTATTTATTGTGCAAAGTGGGTTTAATGGTACAACAGTATAGTGATGATAAATTATATTAAATGATCATTACTTGATTTTTTTTTTAAGCACCCTGTTAAACGGGCTCATTAGCAGCAGTGGAGCAGCTGGGATGTTTTGGCCCACAAAGTGTCCTTTCTTTGACAAGCCTTTGCTCAGCAGAGCCCTCGTGATGATCTCAGTGTGGCTGCTCAGTGCCTGTCTGGCTGTTGGCTGGCTCATAAAATGTCAGCGGCTTCTGCTCCACAGAAAGCTGTTTGCTTTGCCCTTCTTGCCTGCAAAGTGCTTCAGGGGCAGCCAGTCAAATCCGGAGGAAAAGGGGTGGGGTGGAATGCTAAGTAGCCATTTCCCTGAGCCTTGTAAATATTACTCTGCAGTAGACCTGGTATTTTTCCGATAATAAAAAATGCCGGACTAAATTGTTGATCTTCTAGGGAATTAAGTGGTGATCTTGGCGTCGGCTTCACAGCTGAATGGGAGAGCAATACATGAAAGCTTTTTATTCTCAGGGTTGCTGAGAAAGGGCACCACGTTCTGTCTGTTTCAAATACTTTTCTGACTGATGTATTGTAGATTGGGGGTTGACCTATTGTGAGTTTGCTTTCTAAAAAAAAAAAATTAAATCTATTGAATACAGAGGGAAAATGTATCGATGTGAATAAGAATCCCGTTGATCTGCTGCTGTGTTCTTCCAACAGATGTAAGGATATGAGCTTCAGCCATAAATCAGAAGCTACAACTGGAAGAGTGCTTCACATGTGATTTTAACCTCCAGAAGTTGAACAGCAAACAATAACAAACCATTTAAATAAATAGTGAAATTTTTAAGAAGCCCCTCCCCCCTTCCGTTGTACAAAGCTGGATTTGATACAGCAGAGCCACCGTAGGCATTTTCATCCCTTGCTTTTGGTTGAGGCGTACAGCTGGCTTTTTACTAGAGTTGTATGTTTTATATGTTTTAATGTGGTTTTAATTATATTGAATTTTATATTGTTGGACTGTATATTGTTGGAACCTGCCCTGATAGGCTTCCCAAGTCCCCCCGGGGGGCAGGGAAACCCCCTCCCCAGAGGCCTGTTCCGCCGCCGCCGGATCGGGCCCCCGGAGGAACTCCACCCCGATGTGCGCGTCACCTGGAAGTGACGTGACCATGCCGGGCATGCTGGGGGCGGGGCCACGGCAATCCAAGGGGAAACTCTGTGGTTTTCCCTCGTATGGCCATGGCCCCGCCCCCAGCGTGCCTGCCGTAGTCATGTCACTTCCAGGTGCCGTGCATGTGGCGCGCGCACACACCAGATGACAGCCGGGAGCCCCCCGCTCCGGCAGAAGATCGACTTGGCAACCCTATGCCCTGAGCCGGTCAAGGGGAGGGCGGGATATAAATCCAAATAAACATAGACATAGGCAAGCCCCTGAAAGCCACTTGCTGGCTTTCAGATTGTAACTTCAGCCTCTTCCAGCTAGCAGTTCACCAGTACAAAATTTAAATCATGTTGGCTTAACCTAGTTTGGTTGGTTTGGTGCGCCTCCAAGTCAGCAAGCCTCCTTAATGTCCGGAATGCTTTATTTTGTATCTTCGCCAGCCCAGTCAGTGACTGCTGCCATGATTGCAAAGCTGTGCTTCTGACTTCCAGGCAAAAAAAGGTTGCCGCTCTCTCCCACCCCAGGAAACCATTTTCTAAACTGGATTAAGGTTGTGCGGTTTGCAGACTCAGAGTATGCTGTAGCCCAGCTGTGACTGTCTGTCCTGTTCACCATTTTAGAGGTTGCCTCATGCAGACCAGTCCCTGAGGCCTGGCCCACACCCGCTCTTAGGAGAAAGTGGGGGAATTGGATTGGACCAGTTCAGGTGGTGCAACACCATTTGTGGAATATTTTTAACTTGTATAATTCTTTAATGTGATGAGCGTTGAGAAAAAGCCATCTCCCACCAGCAGTTTGAAGTTGTTTGGCCTGTCCTACCATCTCATTCTGGTTCCCCTGAAGACCAGACCTCGGCGCTGAGAATTCTGACGCTTCCCTGAAGGAGGACGAGGGTGGCTCTGCGAGAAGGGGGAGCCTCTCACCACTCTGCTTCCTCCATCCTTATTTAAGTGCTTAATTGACCCCTCCTTCACTGGCTAATTGCCCCTCCCCCTTCCAGTATGGGCGGGGGGATTGGTGCAAAGTTCACTCAGCCCTGCAGAGAATATGTCATTAGAACAGAAGTCCGGCTGTTAGGCCAAAGGCTGATCTCTGCATGGGATGCTGCACTTAACTTTGGTCTCCTGCTCCTTGGCTGTTAAAGCCACGATGGATGCAGTGTGTGTGCTTGATCTGGGCCACACTTTAGAAACTTCCTGTTCTGGACAGCTGATGCTGTCTGCTCATGGGCTTCATGGTTTGTTTGTTTCTTTAAACAGGGTAAAGTTGCAGAGCATGGAAAGCATTTGGATCTTATTACCAGGCCCAGCAGTCTCTACTATGAAATGTGGCACACGCAGAGCAGCCGGATGCTGAACAGGAATGTCAAGGAGCAGTGGGAAGAGAGGAGCAATCACATGTCCAAAGAGGAGGAAAGGAAGAAGCTCCAAGAGGAGATCATCAACAGCGTGAAAGGCTGTGGGAACTGTTCATGCTAAGCACGAGCCCAGCTTGTCTCTCTCTCCTTTATGGCCTCATCCCTCTGGTTAAATGGAGGCCCAGACGTTTGCACTGAAGCTGTTTCCTGCGTTTGACAGAATGAACAATCCTGGTTTGTAAGAAGGCCTTTCTCAGTGGAACACCGGTTTTTAGCCGAAGGATTTTAGTTCTGCCTCTTGGCATCCCTAAGAGCAATGAGATGGGGAGTATGTTGAGACCTTCTTGATATAATTGATCTTTGTACGCTTCGGGGGTTGTTCGCAGACATGAGTGCATCTTTGGGGGGGGGCAGTTCCCTGCCATTTGGACAGAGTCTGAACATCTTTGTGGCATGTTTGCTTTACTCTGCTCTTCACTACTACAAAGGGTGGGTTGAAGTTGTCTTTATGTATCTGTTTCAGCAAAAGTTAATTAACTGGAGCATGAGTGTGAAGGGATGTGTGTGTGAAGTAGTTAACATTCTTTGAATAACTGTTTTGATAGAATTTATATCTTTTTTAAAGAATAATGGTCATTGTCGGTTGTAACAAATTCTAAGCAGAGAAATTTCTACTTAGTTCTTCACTCTTCCCCATTCCACCCCCAATTTGTCCTAGTCCCCCCAAATTTTGGGAGGTCTGAGACTTCAAAATTATGAACAAAAACGTGTATCTTAAGATCAATAAATCTTACAAGGCACAACAATAAAGGCCAATACATCTCCAGTCATTACTGTTCATAGATGTGCTCAAGCAAATGCTTTTATTAAGTTTTAATGAGAATATGACAAATATTGTCATTGTTTTAGCAATAAACCAGGTTTCTGAGACAGACGTTCTTCAAATCATTGGGAGCAGTTTGGGACTACCCATGAACTGAACCCAGTTTTGTCTAGCTTTCTGAAGATATTACATGTTTTTAAAATGTATGGGCTTGAACAAAAGATGTCCTTGATTAAAAGCCACTATTCAGTAGATATTACAGTACAAACATGAATGCCTTTCATGTAAAACACAACCTTGGTAAAATGTTTAAGTTTAAAATTGCTTTAATTTAGCATGTGAATAGACCTCTTATTTGAACTTATGTACAGAATAGCACAAAGACAACAAATGTAACTTTTGAAAGGCTAAAAGTGCTTTCTGTACCTCCTTTTCTCAATCCTGCACAGCCTTGGGAGGGAAGGAAATAATACCTGCCGCTGCATACAGGAGGATTGTTTACATAGCTTGTATTTTCTGAAATCTTGTGGTCTGAGTATGGAGCTCTTTGGTCAGCTTTTTCATCCTTCTTAATGTATATGCACCTTCACCCAGAAATCCTGGGTGAATCATGGGTTGCCTTTGCCTATAAAAACATATCTATTCATTACAGGGGAAGGGGGCAGAGCTCTCTCTGCACTGTGCACGCACACACCTGCGCATGGCAGGGACAAGTGAATCGCCTCCATTCTGTTCCAGTGTTCATCTGCAGTTTCATGACACCTTGGGGTTCAGGCTCAGTTTTCTCCCAGTGAGAAAGGAGAATTTTACAAAGTTGATAATGGATTTTATGCAAGAAAAAATGTTACTCCTTTGGATGTACTAAATTTAAACATTTTATTTTTGTTGACTTTCCACAGAACTGCAAGAGCATGGCAGCACTCTTCTGCAAAAAAAAGCCAAACAAACTTTTTTAAAAAACCAACCCTTTAAAGAGAACCCTTTAAAGAGAGTGTGTGCCAAAAACACATTTTATGTTTTGAAAGAACCATAAATTCTGACATTGAGTTCTGGGTCAGTAAATACTTCTGATAGTTCAGAATCCCGAATTCTGGGGAGAAATTCAGCATAGGACCGTTTTGTAAGCATGCCTCATTAAGTGTTCAGTGTTATGTTTTTAAAAGAACTTCACCCCTGCCAGTGGTGGCGTTAGAAGACCAGAAACTTTGCCTCACTTTAAGTGTTGCGGCTGAAAGCAGGGTACCTTTTGTGTTCATACCAAGCAGATGTTTCTCCAGTGGTCCTGGGTGGGGCAGTCTTCTCTTCTGGGATAGTAGCTCCTCCCTCTCCGCTGGCAGGGTCCTCATACTTTGTGATCCCAGAGGGGAGGGACTTGTCCCAGAGATCTCCAATCTTTCGGCCCCACCTAGGCAGCAGAACGTTGTCATCAGTGCTCCAGAGAGTGCAACGATCCCAGGAAGACAGCAATGAAGAGGCTTGCGAGGGAGGGGAGGGCTGAGTCATCCCCCCCCCCAATATCCATGCCGCGTCTGAGCGGCAGTGAGCTGATTATTGTTCCGGTGGCGCTGGGTGATCCCTGGCAGCCACGGCTGGAACGTAGATACCCACAGAGGACTCCAGCCTTCAGGCCTGGGTTCGCGGTTGAGTCTGACGCAGCCTGCAGGGCAGTGTTGAGGATCTGGCAACCTTCCGCAGGCTCAGAAGCAGCCGGCAATGCTGTCCATGGGCAACCTGCTGAAAAGGAGCAGCCAGAGCCCCGATTCCCTTGCCTGTATGTGGTATAAGACGGAAGAGAAGGACCCCCCTCTCGCACTGCCCAGGAGGGGCAGCGAGTACCAGGGTCAACAGCACCAGAGTCTCCTTCATGACACGGTTTGGTGAGCCAGTTTGGTGTAGTGAGCCAGTTTGGTGTAGTGAGCCAGTTTGGCCCCGGGGGGAACTCCACCCCGACGTGCGCGTCACCAGGAAGTGACGCGGGCACGCTGGGGGCGGGGCCATGGTTTTCCCTTGTATGGCTGTGGCCCTACCCCCAGCGTGCCTGGCGTCCTCCCGTCACTTCTGGGTGACGTGCGTGCGGTGCGCGCGCACACTCAAGACGCCGGCCGGGAGCCCCTGCTCCCGGCGAAGATACACTTGGCAACCCTAGTGCAGGGAAAACCCCACCACTCAAGCCACAAGGGTCAGGAGTGCCTGCAACAGCTGCAACAGCGGTATCCTCAGTCAAATTGCAGCAGAGAAGAGATGAGGTTGATGGCATCAGGGACTCCCCTCTTGCCAAGGTGCTCCCCATACGGCATCTCAATGGGGTCTCCAGCCCTAGGGACAGGAGCCCCCCACACACATACACCTGGGAGGCCTAGAAGAGGGGGAAGCAGTCGCACGGGGGTGCCTCAGCCCTGCCAAGTGGCTTGGGAGGCTGCAGAAGTGGTCGACTTTGAGAGGAAAGAGACTGCTCCTACTGTAGCAACAGCCTGCTCCCTCCCTCCTGCCTCCTGGTGAGGCCAAAGCCAACTTAAAGTTGCAGAGCATGCCTGGTAGGGGGAGGAGTACTTTCAGTTTCCCTTTGGGGAGAAGCTCTTTGTTCTAGTGGGAGATGGCTATGTGGGCAGGCCTCTCAAGGTCACGGCCTCCTGAAAGCAGGGGTCTCGGAACCAGACCCTTTCTTTTCTTATACATTCACCTCCATCCCAGGGTCTCAATCTGAGAAAGGAAAAGTAGAAGCTCAGCTTCCTCAGACCCTTTGGGGGGAATACCCAGGCTGACTTCTAGCCTGGATTGAGAAGGAGATGAGGTGTAAGATCAAGGAAGGTTATGGGTCAGCCTCAGTGCCCCCCCCCCAGTAAAGGACTGCCAGAGTAGTCTCTTCCCCACTCTCTGGGGAGGAGGAGAGACAAAGAGGAGGATGGCAGGCTCCCACCTGTCCTTCATTGGTGGGGGTTTTTCAGGAGGGGGATTTCAAGGCACCTCGAGCCCCTTCTAAGAAGTGGGGGAGATGTCACTACCATGCAGTCACGCCCCTTCCCCTGGAAGTGTGTGCAAAACAGCTTCCTTATGTATCTTGTAGAGTGGAGATTTCCAGCAGTGCTAAGGAGGAGGAGGAGGAGGAGGAACCAGCTCCTGTCTGCCCTGAGTCCTCCCTAAGGCAGGGGTGGCCCCCTCCAGGCCCCCTTTCCCCTTATGAAGGGGCTCCGGGTAGTTCACAATCTAGCCGTCCAGTAGTTCTCAAGTTTTACTCTATGGTTTCAGAGCCTGTGGGGGTAGTCAAGCTGCCTCTGGTGGATGCACAGTTATAAGCGGATGCTCCAATTCAGTGGCTTCTATGGAAGCCAGTGGTCTCCCCAGGATCCCTGCGGCAGGGGGACTGAGAAGGCCTTTTGAAGCCTCAGCTTCTGCACTTCCCTCAGCCCAGGCCAGAGGGGTCAGCATCCCCCTTAGGGGGTTAATTTGGGAGGGGGAGTATGGACTGGTTTTCATGGAGGATGGAGTCTCCACGACCTGCTCCTTGTCCACCAGAGTCATCTATTGCTGGTCATCTGGCATAAGCAGACCGTAACTGCCCAAGGATCTGAAGGATGAGATTGCCTTAGCTCCAGCCTTCACAGCAGACACCTCCCTAGTTTTCATTCAGCTGTTGGCCAGAGTCATGGCCTACAGTGTTACAGCCAGGCTTGGGAGTTTGGGGATTGGTCAAGGACTCGAAAAAGATCTTTCTTCTGGGCACACCCAAGAACTGCCCTTTCCCCTTTCAGATCTCCTTTGAGTCTTAAAGACACCTTCAGATGCCAGTTCCTCCAGGCCCTTCTAAGGGATGGCAGTCCAAGCACCAAGGAACGAACGATTGATCAGCTGCTTATAGTAAATCTGGAAGAGAAAAAGAAGAGTCCTTCAGCATGACTATGCCGAGACTTCAGGCTCCAAAGGTCAGAGGTTGCCTGCAGTTATTTGAGACCCACTGAAATCACACAGTGTGTCACTAGTGGGTGCTAGTTACAGAACCAAATGGCTACTCCGTTGGAATTCAGTATGATGCCTTACAATTGGTTCCTCCAGGACCCGAGATACCGCGCCTAACAGAAGCACCTTATTCTTCAGAAGGCCATCCAACACCTTATGGTCTGTGGAGCAATGGGACCAGGGCCCGATGCCCAAAGAGCACTGGGGGGGCCTAACCCCTCAGAGCTATTTTAGAGCTCAGGGGGTTGTGCAGGCACATAAAGAGTAAGAAGTTAGAATGAAAATCCTTGGGTCCTTTATTTTTTGGGCATTGATCCAGAGGGGAGATTTCTTGGCCTCGGTGGTTTTATATATACCCATTCTAGTAGCCCATATATAATCCACATATGACGGGAAACTCTCCCAATACCATGACCTTCCTTTTGGGTTCAAAGACAGCCCTGTGGGTGTTTATCAGAGTTTTTTGGTGACACTGGCAGCTCATCTGAAGTGAATGTCCTATCAGGTGTTGTGTGCCTTTCCATCATTACAGTGGCTTCACAGGGCAATACAGAAGATCAGAAGGTTTTGAGGCCGCATCCCCAACTGGAACTTTTTCATCCTACCCGTTTGGAGGTTAAGTGCTCACAACTTGCAGAGATGGGATATTTATAACAACACCTGACAGTTTTCTTTCAAGCTTGGTACCTAAAGCAAACAAAGAAGATAGAAGCCCTCTCAGTGACAGTCGAAGAGGTTCTTCCTTCCCGGTGGGAAGGGTTGGGCACAGGGCTCAGTCCCAGCACTCTCAAAGACAGTTCAAGGCTATTGCAGTTACTAGTGACACCAGGAGAGGGAAACCCCTGTCCCTTCATGCTTAAGGGACCCCAGAGGGGAAACTCCTGGACATTTACTCCCAGGTTTACCTTCCCATCCTGGAGCCTGGATGCAGTTTTCCAGCCCTATTCGGGGCTCCATCTGAGCCCATGGCTTCGGTCTTTTTCAGGAATCCATCCATAGGACCGTTTTCCATGTGGGCATCCCTTCAGCCAAAAGAGGCCACAATTAGGGGTTTTTATCAGTGGATACGAGTATATTTTCCATACTTTTCCCAATCAAATGACTTACAGGGTGTTTTCCACCTTTTCACAGGGTGAAG